TTTGATGTTCCTTTGTGAAAACAATAACTGAACCGCGAAGAAGGTGGAGATTGTAGAAGATGTTGAAAAAGCAAATTGACTTATTATTGTTTTTTGTTTCCCCAAGTGATAATTATTATGTATGTATAAAACAGATTGCCCAGTGTAAGTAAAAGATTGTTTTCACGCCATTTCGAACTATGTCCGAGGTGGTTTAGGGACGTATAGACACCTTTCCCCGTAGTGATGTTATAGCCACCCTTTTCTACCTCACCTTTTCCGTGGTTTTCTCAAGAAACATATGTTACAAGGTTGTGCTGTTGTGGAAGGACATTTGTATTTGTTATCTCTATTGTGATGACTTTTCTTAAACGTCTTACTTTCTTTCGTCCTATACACCAAATCCACAGACTCCGCGCGAGACCCCCTTCCCCATTTTCTCCTCGAAATACAAGATATACGTAAGTTATTACATTTCATATATAGATATCATTTCACATTGTGTATACCTTTTTTGAAAATAATTAAAATCATAGGTTGTATTAATATTATAAAAAAGAAAATACAGCAGTATACTAATAAACATAAGAACATTGCATTGTCTCAGGTGTCTTTAGTACGTCTACAATTATTATTTTAAAGAATTGTGAAAGTCTGTCCACTTTTTGTGGCCGAATTCTTGTGATTTGGTGCTCACTGGAGGGTACGGGTGGCCGAGGGTTAACCTGCCTGGAGAATGCCCCTTCTCATCCCGTGACTATGTTCACTCGTCATGGGATACGGAAGGCTGTTACGGCATTCTCCTTGGCAGTCAACACCTAAATATGTAGCGCTGCCACCGGCGTATAGGTAAGCACGCCCTACATTTAATTGTTACTAAACGCTGCCAATAATTTTTCCAAAAATTGTGAAGTTTTAGGTGGACATTCAGTTGGTTATATGGCACTCAGACAATTACGATTTTGAAGATTATTTGAACGGTATGATAGTGAATTTTTATTTTGTTATTTATGTGTACAAGCAAAACTAGTTCACTAGGTTTCTGAATACATTGTTGTCGATGTTTTCTTGATTAAATTGTAGTCAAATCGTATGTTGTTTGCATTTTGCATTGTTTTCGCCGTGATGAAAGATACATTGTATACCACAAAATTCTGTTTTTTAAAGATTTTTTAAAATGCTTATTGCATGTATAATATAAATATTGGGTTTAATGAAACATGTATACGTGTATTAAATTTTGAACAATGTGAAAAAGATTATCATTTGTGCGATGTGTAGCTGCGTGTGAAGTGGTGAACCATTATTTTTGAAACGAAGTATACCTGGTGTGTGAGCGTTTCATGTATACCATTAGTTTTAAGTACATTCACTCGTGCCACCCACCGCCTTTCAAGTGAACCCGTGTTGTCTTCACCATTAAACATGTTTTTTCGCCTTTTCATGTATACGGTTTTCAAATAATTAGGTCAGTAATTAATTGAAAGAAATTTTAATATAAAATAAAGATGACGTTCTGTTTTAGGATGGAAAAAATGTTGATATTTGCTGTACGTTTGTTATGGAATGCATTTGTAACAGGACATATGTGAATCAGTGGCAAAATGTAAAAAAGCTATTTGCCCTGTCTCAGTCTCTTCTGCAAGTCTGTCTCTTGTCTCTCTACCCTGTCTCTTGTTCTGGATCGTGAGCATTAAATGCTTTACACATTGTGTAACAATTTCTAATTCATTTTACCCATTTTTTCCTTTTTTTATTGATTTGGATTTGAATCAAACGAAATCCCAAACTCAGTCCACCTACCCAGCATACGCCTGCTTAGGCTTAGATACTGTCGGGGTACTATCACTATTTAGATTTAGGAAACCATACTAATAACGGGAACAGCCAACTCGAGCGCCTAGATGTATTTGAGATATTACTACTGCCATAACTGTTTTCTGTTCTTTTTTTGGCGGTGGGGGGAACGCATTAACAGAAATGAAAACAGATCTGACCTACTGAAAATAATTTGCAACGTAACAGAAAATCCCCAAAGTATTCCGGAGGCTAGAGGGATAGATGGGAAGATGGGGCGTGCTCTGGTTGTGTGTACGATGGGGGAGCCCTTGCTTTAAATTCCTCAGCGCGCCCGGTAGTATGTTTTGAAGCGTTGCTTTCGGCTTACAGTTTGTGCGAATTTCCATGGCGCGGCGTGGCGGAAGGGCGAAGCGTGGCAGGGCTGCAAGAGGACGGGGAGGCGGAGGGCGTTCCGGGGCTTTTCGGGGTTGGGGCCCCGTGTTCGGAGGGTGAGTCTGCCTGGGCGGGGCCGAGCGGCCCGGTGGGGGAGGAAAGGGCCCGCTGCTCCCAGGCTGCTAGGCGCTCCACTAAGAGCAACAGTTCGTCAATGTCACAGAATGGCAGGGGGAGACATGCTTCCCATTTCTCACGCCGAGCCACTCCGCTGTGTCCCTCCCACTCTCCTCCCCCGCCCTCCCAGCATAGGGCGGTCCAGACCAACGCACCCCCCGGCTCAGCATCTCCCCTTCCAGCCCGGCTCGAGGCCCGGCTCATCAGCCCCAAACGCTTGCTCCACCATCACACTGCAGCCGCATGGCTAAGCCCGCATAAGACCGTAAGAGAAGAAATTCCACACGGATTTCATTTGTCGAGTGATTCTCAGGTTCAATGGTGGAACGAAATCGAGAGTTCTTCTGCGGAACGGCACACGCACGCGAAAAGTGTTATTATTTCTCCTCAATAGGTCTGATTATTGAGGACAAATATGAGTCGACACTTCAGTACAAACGTCCATGCTTTATTCGAATCAACTACGAACAAGGACAGGAAACAGTAAGTCGTTACAAGACGAACAAAAAACAAAAGATAGAATTACACAAAATGCAGTGAATGACATGTGATCCAACAAAAAGGTGTGTTTCCTGGAGCAGAAGTTGGCATTTGTAAATTTAGCGAACTGTCTGCTGTCCCAGCAAACAGTTTGCAGCTTGCAGTTACCATAGCTGCTAACTTTCTTTTGCTGCTAACTTTCCTTTGCTGCAAACCGATGCGCCCTAACGAAAGAGTCCGATCTGCCTTGCTGCTAAACCAAAAGAGTCCGATCTGCTTCGCTGCCAAACCAAAAGAGTCCGATCTGCTTTGCTGCCAAACCAAAAGAGTTCGATCTGATTTCGGCGCTCGGCGACCGCTCCGCATAAACTTTATGATATCTCGAAGCTTGTAAGGGAAATGGTATATACTTTAGGGTGTACACGTTCGTAAAGGACAGGGTAACAGGCTAGTCTTTTTATTTTGCGTATATTCAAAATACACGAGGACTTATAGCCCTCCAGAGATGCCTGACTTTCCGACGCCGAAAAGCAGATTGAACTCTTTTGGTTTGGCAGCAAAGCAGATCGAACTCTTTTGGTTCAGCAGCAAAGCAGATCGGACTCTTTCGTTTGGGCGCATCGAAACTATAGTTTGCTGCTACGGTAACAGCAAACATTTTGCTGTTCTAGCAGAATGTTGGCTGTTCCAGCAAAATGTTGCCGCTTTTTTGCTCATTGATACGCAAGCAGTTTTACTAAAGAAATCTGTCGGAGGTTGACTATATGAAATAAATAGAACAAGAAAACAGCCGCTGAAAATAATTTTTTCTTGCATATTTTACCTCAGAAAGATGTGGGTAAGAAATTACAGGAAACATCCGTAAACATTTTCACAGAAATATTTGGTATCAGTTTTACAGAAATTTTGTGGAGTTATTTTTACAAGTGTTCTGTAATTTTACAAGCAGTGGTAATTTTACCAGACTTTCACTTGGCCCGTATACCTAGACTTTTTCTGTAAAATCTCCCCCAAAATTTTTAACAGTGTTATTAGGGCTACTACAGTGTTAAAAATTGTGTCGTAAATTTACGGCAGCTGAGTGACTGCGACACCTGATGTGATGGACCGGTATGCAAACAGTCGCTGGTTCGAATCTAGTCGACACTGAGTCTGGTTTTGCGATACTTTTAACACAAAACCATGCGATAACTGGAGTTTTGCGATTCCCACGCTAAAGGGCATGATAACTCCAAAAAAATGTGATAAAAGTATCACAGTATTGTAATATTATTATCACAAAAAATATTTTATAACATTTTTTGTGATGATTTTAGTTATCGCAAAAATTGAGTAAAAGTATCACAAAACGGATTTCAGTGGACGGAACCCTTTTGCCCCTCTGCCAGCCATATGTTTCGGGGTGTGCGCCACAGCGGAGATAAGCTTCACCTAAGCCTCATTGGCTCAGTTGGTCGAGCGCGCGCCCGGGACGCGGATGGTTGTCGGTTCGAATACTGCCGAGGTTCTATTTTTCCCTATTTAGTAGTTTGCGGCACGGCGACCAACGGTTAGGACAAAAGACCAGCCGACATGGGGAGGCTGACTCGACCAACTACTCAGCAGCCTCCACCCCACCCCCCTCCCCATGCAAAAAGACAACAAAAAAAACAACGATTTTTCTTTGTTTCTGGCCAGGATTTCGACCCGGGCTGCAGCGCGTCAAGGAGATGGACTTGACCCGACCTGAATGCGTGCAATCCGGGGGTCCTAGACTTCAAAACCAGGACCGAGTTGTGAACTCTCCGCTGACAAGTGGAGCCGACAGCCGAGTAGCGAGCGCGCTGTGGTGTAGTCCGGAAACCGTCGGTCCAGGGATCGACTCCCAGCCGGAGAACGTTTTTTCCCGCTCTGTTGATCATGACTTCGGGATTCAGCGGCAGACCAGACGCGCATGTCGCCCGGAGCAGATCAACAGAGCGGGAAAAAAGTTCTCCGGCTGGGAGTCGATCCCTGCGCCGACGGTTTCCGGACCACACCCCAGCGCGCTAGCCACTCAGCCGTCGCCTGCTCCCGTGGACGGGAACGTCAGAAC